TGCCTAAAACGCAATTATCTTAGATGACCTAGGTTGACCTTGACCCTGACCTTGACCTCTGTACATCGTCGAACAACATGTTTCATGATAGGTGGGAGGTAGGATTGGCATAAAAGGCCGAAATCAAGGTGTTAAAAGCTCACAAGGCCCATAGCCAACTCAAGATGTTGAGAATTGGCCATTTGGGTCATGACATGACCTGAAAAACAAGGTCATATCTCCGAAACCAAAAACCACAGAAACTTGAAATTTTCAGTGGACATCAAAAAAGGATAGAGGAGCAGCTATACGAACAATCAGCTTTCTAGCTCCAAAAATGTTGATTGCAGAGCAGAAAGACTACCTTGGGGGGTGGCAACCACCCCCCCCCCCATGTGCGGGCGAGGGATAATGTACTTTTCATCTGCTGAATTTAGTTTCGTTGAACCATTTTATTTTATTGCAAATATCCAGTAGGTAATAGGTATCCTGGCTATACCTATAGCTAATCTGAAACGCAAACATGAAAAATAATTAACCCACGAGCCGCTGGGGGGGGGGGCATAAAGTTGCCCCCCTTTACGTTTTGTAGAATATCTCCGAAACCCGATGAGCTACGAACGTGAAACTTGGCACAGCTTCAAATGAATACCTAGGCAATGTTTGAGGAAAGTTTGGTGGTTGTAGCACTTAAGATGACGTCACAGTGACGTCATAAAGTTTTGTCGTTTTCCGATATGGACCGTTTCTGATGACGCTGAGCATGAAACTCAACTGCAAATGAACTAGACAGCACCTGCTGTCATCTTAAAACATCTAAGTACACTTCCAGCTAGTTCCTGACCAATAATCGGCCCTTTATATTCGGTCTCATATATCGGATATATCGCGAGGAAACTGAGAGTCGCAAATCTATACTTTGACTTCTGACGTCACTCTGACGTCATTTCAAATGCGATCGACACCAAATTTGGACACAACCTCGGCTAGGTGTTCAGAAAGATGTGTGCAAAGTTTTGCGTCTCTATCTCTTCGCATTGCGACGATATCGTCGCAGAAGTAAAGGGGGGGCAACTATATGCCCCCCCCCCCAGCGGCTGGCGGGTGGCGCGGAGGCCCAGCGGCCGCCGGGTTAACCCGCGCCCCGTAGGGGGGCCGAAACGGCCCCCCCTGTCCTTTTCAGTCGATATCTCCTAAACGGCTGGAGATATCGCCACGAAACTTTCAGGACCCCTCCGGGCATCAATTTTACACATTGTGACCAAAAATTTTTCCAGAGGCTATGATAGGTTGGCCACAAATGACGTCAGAGTGACGTCATGTTCTGTCATTTTCGACCGAAAAAAGACCTTCGCGAGAAGACCTGTCAGGACTACAGCTTTGAAGATACAGAAAAATGATCAAGACATAAAAGGTGTAGAATTGACAGCACTACAAAACTGCTATCTCGAATTTTTGAAATTTTTGAGTTTTGACCCCCAAAAACAAAAAAGCATTTTTTTGGATATATTCGCCAAAAAATCCCAAAAGTTTTTTGAGTTTCGAAAAAAACGGAATATATGTGATAGTGCCTACCGTCTTCTATCTACATACCAAATTTCAGATCGATACCCCGTTTTTTGGCCAAGTTATAGCGAAAAAACTGTTCAAAAATGATGACGTCAAATTTTCAAACTCAATTTTTGGCAATTCTAGAACTCGTAGAGCAAAACGAAGACCACCATTAGACTCCCCGTGACGAGCTGCATCGAATCGATACCCATTTTATGCAAAATATAAACTTTGAAATTTGACCTAATTTGACCTGACCTTGATCTGACCTTCACAAAAACGTGACCTAGGCTGGCCCCAAAGGCTGCCTAACCCACATAATCGCATTTGTCATGTAAAATGGACCATAAAACATGTATCACACGACACATTCATATTGTGACCCCCGGTGACCTGACCTCGCTGTGACCTGACCTGGTATCAGTGACCTCAGATAGCAAAGTATGTGTTTGACGAACAATGTACCATCGATGGTTTTCAATAAATTACCAATTTACTCGCTTTCACAGCACATTTCTTGAATTGCCTGTGAACGGTGAAAATCTGACCTTTGACCTGACCTGTGACGTCATCGGTTTGACCTAGGTCAATGAAATTTGGTCACAAGGTAGTTCCCGGGTAGGGCTATCGAACACCGTTTGAATTTTGAAAATCGGCCGGTAACTTTCCGAGATCTTAGGGGGGGGCCGAAACGGCCCCCCCCCCCCCTACGGGTGGTAGGGTCCTCCGGTAGCTCTACGGCCTACGGGGCGCGGGTTAATAATCAATGCAGCAGCTGAACAATATTCATAATTTGCTTCCTCTATAAACGAGTATGGCTGGCATGTCTTCCCGTTTTGCTCTATTCGTAGAGTTCGACGCACCTTTCAACGATATGCGTCTCGTTACTAACAACCCTTTTGTTTGTGATTGCAGCTCTGGCCTGGCGTTACTGTGGCTGGTGCTGCCACCTACACAAGCATCACTTGATGGTGCTGCCATCTATCAAATTGCTTTCGGAGCCGACTGCAGCTCATATCTTGGACATTTGTCTCCAAGGGCAGTCTTCCCTACTCAGGCTTTTCAACACCGTGGTATTGGTATTGTATTGGAGGTATGAGCGGGATTGCATTAACCCACGAGCGGCTGGGGGGGGGGTGTTTGAACACCCCCCCCCTGTGGTTTTTCGCGAATATCTCAAAAACGGCGCGTTTTTGGTACACCTTATCATACATCAATTCTACACATGTTGTGAAAATTTCAGACCAAGGTCATTCAAGGTCAGGTCACCAGGTCACTCGAAGTGACCTCACCTCATAAAAAGTTTCAATGTCTGTCATAGCTACACCGAGTGACCGATCGCTTTGAAACTTTCAGCGATTGCTAAGAGCATTAGCATGTACAAAATGTATATCTCAGAATTTTGATATCGATGACCTAAGGTCAGGTCAATTTTGCGACCTCACCATTATAAGTCAATGGGAGAAAATTGAAATGCGCCTGTTTTGGACGAAAGACATTATAAACACTCCCAAACACTGAATTACAAGTGGTTTAGACACACTGAACATGAAAATGGTGTCTGTGACCCCTGTTTATGCCCTGAGGTCATCTTAGGTCACGAATGGTATCTAACAGTTTTTCGCAAATAACTTTTGATAGAGGCATGCTAGAGCGATGAAAACGCCTTAGATGTGTTCAGCTCGACGATACGGATCGACTGATATGCAACATGACCCTTTCCGGTCAGGTCATGACCTTGACCTGAGGTCAAATTTTCAAGTTGACCTTTCAAGGTCAAATTATAGTTCGTTCGATGCGTCTTGACGAGAGGAACACGATGCCGGTAAAAGTAAGCTCGTACAATGCTTGGGTCAAAAGTTATTGCAGAAAAACTGTTTCCGAAAAAATCGGCTATTTTTGCAGTTTTTGCCCCCTGCAGGCAAAACCGTTGACGTTAGGTCAAATCTGAGAGAATTACTCAGAAAGGGCGTTAATAGGGCTATCGAATGCGCTTTTCCGCGGCGCTGTAGCTCTATTGGTTCCCGAGTTATGCGTTGGCTTCTTGGAAATTTTCGACATTCGACCTGGAAATCGGCGAAAATTTGCCTTCAATGACCTCTGGTGACCTGACCTTTGACCTGACCAAAAAATTGACCGAAGTGATTTCCTCATTATTTTTGACGCTCTTTCGAACCCCGCCTTCCGCGTATCGCTACGTGGCCCAAGAGCCGAGTTAGAAGGGGGGGTGTTCAAACACCCCCCCCCCCCAGCAGGGCGTGGAAATCCAGGACCCCCAGCCGGGCGCGGGTTAACCCACGAGCGGCTGGGGGGGCATAAAATTGCCCCCCCCCCTTTACGTTTGGTGGAATAGCTCCGAAACGGGATAAGATACGAAGCTGAAACTTGGCATAGCTTTAAATGAATACCTAGGCCATATTTGAGGAAAGTTTGGTGGTTGTAGCACTTAAGATGACGTCACAGTGACGTCATAAAGTTTTGTCGTTTTCCAATACGGAGCGTTTCCGATGTCGCTGAGCATGAAACGCGGCGGTGAATGAAGCAAACAGCACCTGTTGTCATTCTGACACATCTAAATACACTGTTAACTATATCCTGACCAGTTATCGGTCCTATATTCTCGGTCTCATATGTCGGATATATCGTGAGGAAACTAAGAGACGCCAATCTACGATTGGGCTTCTGACGTCACTGTGACGTCATTTCAAATGGGATCGACACCAAATTTGGACACAACCTCGGCTAGGTATTCAGGAATATGTGTGCAAAGTTTCGTTTTTCTATCTCTTCGCGTTGCGACGATATCGTCGGCGAAGTAAAGGGGGCAACTATATGCCCCCCCCCCCAGCGGTTGGCGGGTGGCGCGAAGGCCCAGCGGCCGCCGGGTTAACTTTGACATCATTAGAGAGATGCATACCCTTACAGATATTAACTAGCGTGATATAGGTAAATCGCATTTGGAGTTTGAACCATATGATAGAGCCTGGGTACATACATCTAATGATACAATCCTACTGATCATAACATTATATCATATACCTAATTTAGTTATATATGTCGAATTGATCAATGTCACGGGTCACATTCTGATTCAGTATCGTTCCACGGCCGTTGAACAGTCGGTGGTCTCTCGTATTGCCGCTGTACAGTGATGACCAATCCGGTCCAGTGTTGTGGCCACCGGGTGACGGAGTGCACCGCCCACTTGTGTGTGTGTCTGTGTGTCAGCGGGAGGGGGAGGAGCCATCCGGTGAATAATCCACTTCTCCTTATAACTTACTAATAAACCGTTCCAATAGAAGTGGTTGCGTGGCGTAATAGCTAGCGCAGTCGCGTTCCAAACGAAGGGTTGAGGGTTCGCGGCCGGGCGGATCCATTTGCTTTTGCCTGTGTTTCTAAATTGCATTTATTCAGTGAGTAACTCGGTTGCTAAAGCGAAACCCGCGCGGCGGCGCCGGCGGCGGACTTACCTTGTGTGTCGTCCTCCGCCAGGTAATGCTGCAGCAGCTGCCACCGGTCCGGCCACCGGCCGACGGCCGCGTCGTATGCCGCGCGCAGCCGGTCACCGGACAGCAGCTGCTGCAGCCGCCGGCGCCAGAGGCCGGCCGTGGCGACCACCGTCGGGCCGTCCATCTCTGGTAGATCGCGACGGAGCCAGTGCTGCAGGTCACGGCTGAGGTGCTGCTCCAACCTCTCCCGGCGCTGCTGGTAGGTGGCCGGTGGTTGGTAGTTCCCCTCCCAGGCCTCCTTCTTCTCCCGGTCCACCTCTCGCCACACGTCCATCTCCCGCGGCACGGCCTCACCGAGGGCCCGCAGCAGCAGCTCTGGCCGCAGCAGCAGCTCGGCCCGGCCCCGCGGCGTGTCCGGCTCGGCGGTCAGGCCGGCCGGCCGCTCCCGGCGACACCAGGCGGCCACCGCGGCCGGCTCACCCAGCAGGAGCTCCAGGTCGGAGTCGGTGAGGAGCCGGGTGAGCGGCGTCACGTCGAGCGTGACGGTGACGTCACCGACCGGTGACGTCACCGGCTCGCCGTCCGCCAGGTCCGCCGGGTTCACCACGCTCCAGGCCATGAGCAGGTAACACTGCTGGTAGTGTGTCCCCGACTTCATGTGGTGGAACCACTGGAGCAGGCGGGGGGCCGCGCGGGCCAGGAGGGGGATGGCCCAACTCCACCAGCTCTCCCAGCAGGGAGCCGTGGGGCGGAGCCTGATACCGGCCACCACAGCCTGCCGGAGGAGCGTCCGTCCCAGACGGAGCCGCAGCTGGCGCTCTGAGAGCGGCTCCGTCGGCCGCCCCTCCAGCAGGATGTCCAGGGACCACTGCCGCTTCTCACAGCAGGCCATCAGGAGGGGTGTCAGGTGCTCCCTCACCAGCCGGAGGGAGCCGATGATGGCCTGCCGCTGGTCCGCGGTCAGCTCCGCCGCCACGTTAATGGCCGGGTAGAAGTAGCAGGGCAGCACTCCGTCATCGAGGCGCCGCTCCAGCCAGTCCAGGAGCCGGTGGACGCCGTCCGTGACGCCCGTCCGCGGTCCACCGTGCGGCTCCTGGGCCACCCAGAGCGCCGCCGTCTTGATAAAGTACGACTTTAATAAGTCGCCAATGGCTACCCCGCTCTCCTTCAGGATGTTTTTGATGGCCTTTAGGGCAGTAACCGCAGCCCGCAGCCCCGGGCAGAGCTGACGGACGGCCAGCAGCTCCGCCCGAGACAGCGAGATGCGGTACTCAATGAACTCCGTCTTACTGCCCGGCCGGCCGGTGGGCACCAGGTGGACCCCGAAACTGGTGTCCCAGGGGGCGCCGTCGGGCCAGACTGGCGCGGGCCACCAGCCGCGCACCAGCAGGCAGAAGACGAAGTCTATGCCGCCGTGTTTGTCACCAGGCTCCTTGACATTGACTGCCGGGCCGGTGGGGGTGATCTCACCAGTCATACCGACCCGGCAGTAGTCGTACATGATCCGACGGACGGAGTCGGCCGGCAGCGCCTCCAGCGGCTCCTCGTGGCCGCACCGGTCCGTCCGCACCCAGTGCAGCGTCACGAAGCCGGCGTTGTCGGTCGGCCGGGCCCACAGCTGCGGCGCAGAGCGCGGCTCGATGTCGGCCGGCTTCGCGCCCGGCGGCGCCCAGCGGAAGGGGCCGTCAAACTCCAACATAATGTCGCAGTCTGACGTGCCCCCCTCACCCACGATAAGGTCCTCCAGCCCCTCAGCCATGCTCCCCGACCTGTTACAGGTGACCAGCCGGAGCGGCTGGCGGGGCTGGCAGTGACGACACCGGGCGGCGGCGGCGGCGGCCCCGACCTCCGCCAGCGCCGACAGCCGAGGGCGGCTCAGCAGACCCCAGACGGCGTCACCGACCTCACAGGAGGTGATGGTGGCCTGTCGTCCCGGGCCGTGGTTCCTCACCAGGTCCAGCGCCACCAGCAGCGTGTCGGCGACCAGATGGGCCGCCGACCCGCACCTCGCCACCAGCTGCTGCACCGCGGGGCTCAGCCTGCTCTCCACCAGCCTCCAATTCCGCTCCAGCGTGTAAAAGCGCACGGCATCGATGATTTTAGACATACTTGTATCTATGTAGGCAGTTGAAATAGGTAAGCGATCTAACGTAAGGCAAACACTAGGTGTCACTGGTCACTGTCACAGGAGGACTGGCCGGTGCCGGCCGGCACCGATGCTGATATAGCTACCGACCGCCGGCGGCGGCCCCGATAAGAGCCGCCGGCCGCCGGCAGCGACAGGCGCGCGGCGCCGACTGGAGCCGGCCGGCGGCCACCTCCGGCTGCCGGCGTCGCGGCCAACACAGAGACGAGCCGGGCCGGCGCGGGGCCACGCACCAGAGGTGGTACAGGGACCCGCAGTTGCTTCTGTACACACTAGTATTTCAGATGTCCGTCAAGACAGCCCATATTCAGCCCAGATTCAGCCCGGATTCAGCCCAGATTCGGGACACCTCCGATCAAGCTGAAACTCGCACACAATGTAGGCCATGACATGCCCGATCCACAGTCCAAGTCATTCGGTGGCACTCCCAGCCGTTTGACCTAGAGAGGTCAGCAAAGGTCACGTGGCCCAAATTTGCACAGCAGATTGTGGCCCACCCAGTAGAGCTAGAGCGCTAAAAATGGCACCAATCGACTCGCCAGCATCTAATCTTACTTTCCCAACACTCATTTGACCTCTCAAGGTCATGCGATGACCTAAGGTCATTTGTGGGCTATGTCGAAAATACACTTGCACAGCAGTTTTCGAGTAGATGGATTGACCAAATTCCAAATCAAAGCACATCATCAGGTAGCCCATAGGCCGTAGTAACTTTCCTTAAAAACCGCTTTTCGATATGTGACCCCGTTTGACCTCTGCAGGTCAAAATGTGCAAATAAACGACACTCAATACGTCGCAGCCCGGATTCAGACCAGATTCGGGACACCTCCGATCAAGCTAAAACTCGCACACAATGTAGGCCATGACATGCCCAATCCACAGTCCAAGTCATTCGGTGGCACTCCCAGCCGTTTGACCTAGAGAGGTCAGCAAAGGTCACGTGGCCCAAATTTGCACAGCAGATTGTGGCCCACCCAGTAGAGCTAGAGCGCTAAAAATGGCACCAATCGACTCGCCAGCATCTAATCTTACTTTCACAACACTCATTCGACCTCTCAAGGTCATGCGATGACCTAAGGTCATTTAAGGGCTATGTCGAAAATACACTTGCACAGCAGTTTTCGAGTAGATGGATTGACCGAATTCCAAATCAAAGCACATCATTAGGTAGCACATAGGCCGTAGTAACTTTCCTTAAAAACCGCTTTTCGATATGTGAACCCGTTTGACCTCTGCAGGTCAAAATGTGCAAATAAACGACACTCAATACGTCGCAGCCCAGATTCAGCCCGGATTCGGGACACCTCCGATCAAGCTGAAACTCGCACACAATGTAGGCCATGACATGCCCGATCCACAGTCCAAGTCATTCGATGGCACTCCCAGCCGTTTGACCTAGAGAGGTCAGCAAAGGTCACGTGGCCCAAATTTGCACAGCAGATTGTGGCCCACCCAGTAGAGCTAGAGCGCTAAAAATGGCACCAATCGACTCGCCAGTATCTAATCTTACTTTCACAACACTCATTTGACCTCTCAAGGTCATGCGATGACCTAAGGTCATTTGTGGGCTATGTCGAAAATACACTTGCACAGCAGTTTTCGAGTAGATGGATTGACCGAATTCCAAATCAAAGCACATCATCGGGTAGCCAATAGGCCGTAGTAACTTAACTTAAAAACCGCTTTTCGATATATGACCCCGTTTGACCTCAGCAGGTCAAAATGTGCAAATAAACGACACTCAATACGTCGCAGCCCGGATTCAGCCCAGATTCGGGACACCTCCGATCAAGCTGAAACTCGCACACAATGTAGGCCATGACATGCCCGATCCACAGTCCAAGTCATTCGATGGCACTCCCAGCCGTTTGACCTAGAGAGGTCAGCAAAGGTCACGTGGCCCAAATTTGCACAGCAGATTGTGGCCCACCCAGTAGAGCTAGAGCGCTAAAAATGGCACCAATCGACTCGCCAGTATCTAATCTTATGTTAAGTCGAAAGGCAGCGTCTCCATTTGTGATGTATTAGGTCGGGTATCACAACGGCAGCAGCAGCAGCAGCACGCGTGGCGAGCCCCAGGTCCAGAATGACCGCCGCCCCCGGCTGCGGCCGTGACCCCGCGCCGCCGGTGGCAGCGGCGCGCCCAGCGGGAGGCGGTCCGCAGTGGCGCGCCCAGCAGCGCGCCGAGAGGTGGCACCGGGCACACAGTGCACTAACACATCCTAACACACCTCCCCCCTAAATAAAATGTCTCTTATTCTCTGCACTGTAAAGCACCGCGATGAAATGGCTGCTTCGACCACCGGCAAGGCCTCGATCAGCTGCAGCTGTGGCATCAGCTGCTCGGTCTGCGGCGTTGCAGTCGGTGACGTCTGCTCTCGCGACGTTCGTGCTGGTGACGTCCGCTCTGGTGACGTCTGCGCCGGCGACATCTGGTACTGGTGACATCTGCGCCGGCGACATCTGGTGCTGGTGGCGTCTGCGCCGGCGACATCTGGTGCTGGTGACGTCTGCGCCGGCGACGGCGTCGAAAATCGAGCGCCGCAGGACGACGGGGAAGATGGGCTGTCGAGCTGAGTACGTATGACTTTAATGTGCTGTACCGAAAGGGCAGTGATAATGGAAATGCTGATGCCCTGTCCAGGCCAGTAGTCGACCAGAAGGAGGAGGAAGTCAACGAACTCATGGCCACGACCCGTGACGAAGCCACGAGCGGAATAGACGTCGAAATCTTACGGCGTGAGCAAGAGCTCGATCCGGTCTTCGGTGAGGTCCAAAAGTGGCTAAAAGCAGGTCACCTCCCTCCGAGGAAGGAATTGAGAAAAAGAAACAAGAATCTGCGCACGATGGCTCGGTTGTTCGACCATCTGACAATGGAACAGGGTGTCGTGAAGCTACAGCGTCGTGTCGAGGGAAAGGAACCGGTGTTACTCCTCC